TGCCTGTCGTGGCGGCAACCCGAGAACCCGGTGGTGGACACCGGAGGTGAGGGAAGCCGTCAAGCTGAAGAAGGAGACCTTCAAGGCCTGGTTGGCCCAGGGGTCTCCTGAAGCAGCTGACAGGTACCGGCAGGCCAGAAGGGCTGCAGCTGCGGTGGTCACAAATGCTAAAACTCGGGCATGGGAGGAGTTCGGGGAGGCCATGGAGAAGGACTTTCGGTTGGCCTCAAGGAGGTTCTGGCAAACCATCCGACGGCTCAGGAAGGGAAAGCAGGGCTTACCCCAGGATGTTCTCAGCAGGGGGGGGGGGAAACTGCTAACCCGGACGGAGGACATCGTCGGGCGGTGGAAAGAGCACTTTGAGGAACTCCTAAACCCGACCAACATGTCCTCTGCAGAGGAGGCAGCACCTGAGGACCTAGGGGGAGGCTCACCCATATCCCTGGCAGAGGTCGCTGAGGTAGTTAAAAAGCTCCTTGGTGGCAAGGCGCCAGGGGTGGATGAGATCCGCCCTGAGATGCTGAAGGCGCTGGACATGGTTGGGCTGTCCTGGCTGACACGCCTCTTCAATGTCGCATGGGGGTCGGGATCAGTGCCCATGGAATGGCAGACCGGGGTGGTGGTTCCCATCTTCAAAAAGGGGGACCCGAGAGTGTGCTCGAATTACCGGGGTATCACACTACTCAGCCTCCCGGGGAAGGCTTATGCCAGGGTGCTGGAAAGGAGGCTCCGACCGCTTGTCGAACCTCAGATACAAGAGGAGCAATGCGGATTCCGTCCCGGCCGTGGAACAGTGGACCAGCTCTTTACCCTCGCAAGACTACTGGAGGGGTTCTGGGAGTTTGCCCAACCAGTCTACATGTGCTTTGTGGACTTGGAGAAGGCTTTCGACCGGGTCCCTCGGGGGGTCTTGTGGGGGGTGCTGCGGGAGTATGGGGTGCCGGACCCGTTACAACAGGCGATCCGGTCTCTGTACGACTGCAGTAGGAGCTGTGTCCGCATTCTCGGCACTAAGTCAGACACGTTCCCGGTGGGTGTTGGCCTCTGCCAGGGCTGCCCTTTGTCACCGGTCCTGTTCGTGATTTTCATGGACAGGATATCTAGGCGCAGCCTGGGGGCGGAGAACGTCAGTTTCGGGGGTCTCGGGATCGCCTCTCTGCTATTTGCAGATGATGTGGTCCTGTTAGCCTCCTCGGATCGTGACCTCCAGCATTCACTGGGGCGGTTTGCAGCCGAGTGTGAAGCGGCGGGGATGAGAGTTAGCACCTCCAAATCTGAGGCCATGGTTCTCTGCCGGAAACCGGTGGATTGCTCCCTCCAGGTGGGGACGGAGTGCCTACCTCAAGCGAAGGAGTTCAAGTATCTCGGGGTCTTGTTCGCGAGTGAGGGTAAGATGGAGCGGGAGATCGACAGACGGATTGGTGCAGCTGCAGCAGTAAAGCAGGCGCTGCACCGGACCGTCTTGGTGAAGAGGGAGCTGAGCCGGAAGGCAAATTTACCACTCGGTCTACGTTCCTACCCTCACCTATGGTCACGAACTTAATTGCAAATGTCTTTGGATTGTACTGACCAAATTTGAAAAGGATCTGACAAAGTCTCTAGGAGGAGTTCGTTAAAGTATAGCGACTAGAAATCAAGGAGAAATTCACACAAAACTCTAAATGGCCGACTTCTGGTTGGTTTTAGAGCATGGTCCCAAGAGACTTTTTTTTAATTCTCCATGTGATACATGTCCCTACCCATTATCATACATGTATGTCAAACGTAGTGCTGGGGCTGCGTTTTTGAAAATTTGTAGGGGGCGCTATCGAGGCAATTTTCAATGGTCAAGCCAAAAAGCCATATTAAATATTTATTTACATCACCTATGACACCTGTGCAAAGTTCCATGGCTTGCTGAACATCCTGAGCCACAGAAAAATAAGCTTCATTTTTCATGGTGAATGACGTGTTGCCACGGCAATGGGCACCACATAAAATGAAGGTCGTTCATTGTCAGTAGACCATTTTAGTAACTCTTCATCATTAATATCTTTAGATCATCCTGACCAAATTTGAAGTTGATCGCATGAATTCTGTGGGAGGAGTTAAAGTACGTCTGAAAACGATGAAAATTGACAAAAAAGCCAAAAATGGCTTAACTACTGTATCGCTCCCTAGTGGTTGAATGGAATGAAAATTGTAGTGTACGTAACAATATACGATGTGCACATATGACACAAATTTTGCGATTATAGGTTAAATGGTTTTGAAGTTATGAATATTCAAATACAAAGCCACGCCTTATGAAGTTCATTGGTCCATATCTTCTAAACGTAATGAGATATCAAACATGTTTTGATAAAATTGTATTATATAGATCCAATACTGATCTACAGCAAATTTAGTAGCAATCAGACTCAGTGTGTAGGAGGTTGCAAAAAGGGGTTTTTCACAAAATTCTAAATGGCGGAAAATGTTGGTAGGCGGAGCTTAGGGGTCCAAGAGGCTTTTTTGTAGACCTCATTTGGTGGCATGCCTGTGTAAAATTTCAAGTTGATTGGACATACGAGATGAGGGGGCTAAATTCTAGGGGGCGCTAGCGAGCAATTTTTTCATGTTCGAGCGTGGGACTCATAAAATATCAAACTTTTCAGCAGTCCTGATATGCATGCCGACTTTTCGGATATGATAAAGCCCCCAAAAAGGCAATTCATTCGAGAGAATAATAATAATTCCTACAGTTTCAATAGGGACCTCGCGGCCTGACGTCGGTGCTCGGGCCCTAATTAAAGCTGAAAGCAGCGATGTACGGGCCCTCGCACCTTCCCGCGTCTCGGGGTACTGGCGGGACGCCAGCAGAAGCGGCCATAAATATCTGCGACCATCAGACAGCGTGCCCACAAGTTAGAAGTATTTTTAATGCTTGGACTGTGTGTCGCTGGAAATTATGTAGTGCAAATATTCCACCAGTTCCTGCATCCACTTTGTGGCACTAGAGAACATGTGCAAACATGCATTATGTTGCTCTACATGGAGTATAGACCACATCATGTAAATGTCATATAAATCGGATTCAGTTTGTCACATAACGCTGTCTTCCTGTTGCCAGTAGGTGGCGCTATGACATTGAGTGAAAATTGGCTTGTAGACATCCTCAGCCCATGACTGTTATCAAGTATGGCAAGTTTGGGACAGATTTGAGCAAGTCCAGTGGAGTTACATCAGCTTGTTGTTTAATAGCGAATCACCTACAATGGCCGCCACGTCACGGCTACGCCATTCCATCAAACATAAAGTTTTGAGTAACTTTTAATTGCAAAGGTCTTTAGATTATACTGACCAAATTTGAAAAGGATCTGACAAAGTCTCTAGGAGGAGTTCGTTAAAGTATAGCGACTAGAAGTCATGGGAAAATTCACACCAAAATCAAAATGGCCGACTTCCCGTTAATTTTAGAGCAGTGTCCCAAGACACTTTTTTTAAGTCTCCATGTGATACATGTGCCTACCAAATTTCATACATGTCAAACGTAGTGCTGGGGCTGCGTTTTTGAAAGGGTCAAGTCAAAAAGCCATATGAAATATTTATTTCCATCACCTATGACATCTGTGCAAAGTTCCAAGGCTTGTTGAGCATCCTAAGTCACAGAAAAATAAGCTTCCTTTTTCATGGCGAATGACGCGTTGCCATGGCAACAGCATTTAACGACAACTCACAATATTCATGATGAAGCATCATCAATGTCTTACGGCTTAGCTTACCAAATTTGAGACTGATCTGGTTAACGTCCTAGTCAGAGTACATCAAAGTATAAAACTTGTCATTTCCTTTTGCCAGTAGATGGCGCTATGACTTTGTGAAAATGTTGGCATGGAAATGTGCTCAGGCCTGGACCAGCATCATGCAGAACTAATTTGGGGCAGATTGAATAAAGTACCTTGGAGTTACAACAACTTCCTCTTTCATGGCGAACGGCACGAAATGTGCGTGACATGGGCGCCACATAAAACGAAGGTCGTTCAATGTCAGTAGACCATGTAACTTTTCATCATTAAAGTCTTTAGATCATCTTGACCAAATTTGAAGTCGATCGCTTAAATTCTGTGGGAGGAGTTCGTTAAAGTACAACACCAGAAAACGATAATAATTCCTACAGTTTCAATAGGGTCCTCGCGGCACTACGTCGGTGCTCAGGCCCTAATAATATGTCATTAAACACATCAATGAGCCTCATCTTCATCAACACACACTGTAGTTTGTTTACTTCACTGCCGCTGAAAATAGTCCCAACAAAGTGACTGTTTCCTGTTTGTTTGATAAACATTGAATCACTGATGAAACTTTAAGTTTGTGAGACTCAGACCGGAACATAAATACTGCACGTGTACAAATACACAGTTTGAACCAGACAGACAACGAATTTTCAAGAACATGAACCTGCTGTCTGCGCTGTGGGCGGAGCCTGTGTACCCCCCCAACCCCCCAAGCAACAAACACTGAGGCCAATTAGCTGCACCATCACTGCTATTATCAGACTGCATGAGTACAGTGTCAGTGTGTGTGTGTCTGTGTGTGTCTGTGTGTGTGTGTGTGTGTCTGTGTGTGTCTCTGTGTGTGTGTCTCTGTGTGTCTCTGTGTGTGTGTCGTGAAACCTCTGGCTGTTCACATTAAAGCAGTGATGTCCTTGAACCTTCAGCATGAACCAACACAATGTGTGCGCGTGTGTATCATTGTGTGTATACCACTGTGTGTGTGTCTGTCTGTCTCAGTGATTACAGTTTGATGAATCACACTGTTTTAGAATATTTTCTTCTTCTGCTGAAGGTAAACTCATCCTGACTGAAAACCGTAATTCCTCTAATAAAACACCTCTTTTAAATAATATTACCGTAAATCATCTAATAAAACATATTTTCTTAAATCTTACCGTAAATCCTCTAATAAAACCTCCACTCACCCTTCGTCTGTATTCAGGTGTTTCTGTACCTTTAAGGTGTGACATGTCGTTGAGTGCGTACCTTTTAATTTTGAGCGAACTTTATTGGCTGTCTTCTTGATATCAGCTGTCAGGTCCTCCAACTCCTGCTTGGTCTCTGGAGACAGAAAGAAAGAGAAGAAGAGTTACGAGGTTCATGGTGTCAACATTATTATTAATATTCATATTTATATCATCAGTTCAAGGGAAGAAAAGCTGCTCCTATTTTTGATGAAGTGTCATAAACATTAGATTTCATGTCAAATAATAACTGATGGAAACACAATAAATTAAAGTCAGGTTTTCATCTGATTCTACTCTTCATGCTAAGCTAAGCAAACTGTGCTGAACCAACAGACATGAGATTAACATCCATCTGAACGTGATGTGAAGTAGAAAAAGAAGTTGTTTGTGACGAAATATCACATCATGTCAGCCATGTTGGAGCAGGGAACAGTGTGCGTGTGTGTGTGTATGTTTCTGTGTGTATGTGTGGGTGTGTGTGTGTTTGTGTGTGCGATAACTGCAGCAGTGCAGTCAGATTTATGAGCTCTGCAGTGCCGTTCAGCCTCGTCTCCTCTGACTCACCCCGTTTTCTGTCTGACCGCTTTGTTTCTGCTTCTATTAGCATTAAATGATAAAGCTGCTAACACTCTTTTTTAAATGTTTGATTTCAGTAATTGTTTTCTTTGGTGGAAATGATTGACAGCGGTGACGGACAATGAGAGCCAGTAATGCTCCTCCTCCTCTCACACTACAACTCCCATGATGCATTATTGATGCAGAAACACTGGAGTGCATTTTGAGTGACGGAAAGCCGACTGGTGACCCAGAACTGAAGAGGAGAAGAAGAACGAAAGCGACGTGTTTTCACCGGAGGGGAAGAAGAAGAGTCTGAAGAGATGTTTGTCATATTATATTACTATATTATTATTATATTATATTATTATATTATATTATTATTAGTGCTGGGCAACGATTACAATTTTTAATCGTGATTAATCTCATTGTTATGCACAAAGTTCAATAATGAATTCAAAAGTAGTGTATTGTGCACTTTTATTTTGAAAGTGCTGCTATATGAACAAAAGGTCAATAACATTTGGTGTAAACACTTTAAACACATCAGGTTCTTGTTAACAGCAGTATTCCCTTTACACAGTAGCAGTTATAACACAGTTATAATGATTCTGATCATAGATATTCAGCCGGTGTTCACAACTTCATCTTCATGTGTGTAAGAGATGCAATTTAAATATACTTCTTGAAAACTGCAAACCTATCTACGTCATGTTTTTATGTTTGTTAAATTCTCAGTAGTGATACTAAATGATGCTTATTATACATATTACAAACAAAACACTTTAAAAACTCTTGTGACAAAGCGGGTGAGAACACACCATTTACATTCATCTATAAGTCTGACCATGCTTTTCAATTGTTTGTTTACCATACCCACCATGTGTTCCAGAGGTTAAAGGGGAAGGCACTCAACCATTTCCTCTATTTATACACTGGATGATGTCATCAGTGATGTCATTGGGTCAAACCAAGTGTGGGGGGATTAGAGTATGTACAGGTAGATATGTAGTTTAGTTGTGATCTGTTTTACATTGTTGTGAGTGTATAGCAAATTGTAAACCATATAAAATTGTTGGTTACCTAAAGGGGTGCTGTGAGGTATAGGTCGTGTCTGTTAACTATGGAGTCAGTAATTGGTGTCACCTGCACTCATGGTAGGAACTGAATCCTGCCGATAGGAGGCTCTATATAAGGAGATGACTTTGACTGAACAGGGAAGAAAGGAAGATCAGTGTGTAGCTGTGGGCATGTGATTATGTTACTTTAAGATGAGTTGAATTTTATTCAGTTAAGCTAAGTTAAACGTTTGTTTTGATTTGTTTGTATATATATTTGGTTACACGTGTAGCAGGGCACTTTTATAAATAAAACACTTTTTGATATCTGAACAAAGTCTCTCGTGTCTGCCTCCTACCACTACAGAAGCCACTCAGGTCAGGCTTCACCACAACTCTAAAAACATAATTTAAATGAATCATTTATTTTTTGCTTATTTTGGTCAGACACATATGCATATGCATATTACGGTTGATTACCGTAATATGTGTGGTATTTATTATAAATGTATGTTGGTACATAGAGGGTGATAAGAAGCTATACATGGAGGGACTTAGGACCCAGGGGAATGTAGGTGAAGGAAACAGGAAGAGACGGAAGAGACGCCACACAAACAGCTGTTCACCGCTCACTGCGGTGTTAAAAATGTCCGCTTAATAAAAAAATTTTAAAACTGCGTTAACGCGCGATAATATAATTGTTGGCGTTAATTAATGAATGCATTAACGGGATAACGTGTTAACTTACCCAGCACTAATTATTACATTATTATATTGTTATTAGAATAATTGGAACAAATATGAATTCATTTTTCAGCTTAAAAGTATTCTTCCACATGTCGAATATTTATTTAAACTATAGAAGAAGTCTGTTAATCTAGAATTTAAATTCTAGATTAATTCAATACTTGATGGTTGTTAAATTAAACTCATCACTTCCTGCAGACATTTCACAATAAAAGCGTTCAGGGCACCTGGAACCTCTTTTAAAGATACATTTTTACATCCTGTAGAATTGTTTTGATTAACAGATTTTATTTCACATGAATAAAGATAAAAATAATATTCACATTTAACTGGTGATTTTGTGTTGCCATGACAACAAGAATAAAGTTTGTTGATATGAAAACATTCATCCTTTGTTGTTGTTTGTGTTTACACATAAATTAAAGAAGAGGAAGAAGAGGAAAATGATGAAGGACTGAATGATGAGACTCACTTTTCCTCACTGCTTCTCCTCCTCATCTCCTCTGAAGGTTCATGCAGTCACAGGAAGCATGCAACGGGGGGGAGGAAGAGGAGGAGGAGGAGGAGGAGGAGGAAGAAACAAAAGGGCACAAATATGAAAAATAAAAGGATGAAAAATAATAACATGAACGTGCAGAGAGTCGATGACATCATGCAGAACAAACATGACTTATAATAAAAAATAATAATAAAATTAAACAGTAAATATGGTCACTTCCTGTTCACTGGTTGATAAAAAAACAAGATGATGATGGACAAATCGCTGAACTAGAGGCTTCAAAACATCCACAAACCAACGAGAAACATCCCCATAACGTCTACGTCCACTTCTTATGGACAGTCTGTGGTTATTGAACTCTTTCTATCTGACAGCAGCGATCAGGAGGTCTTACTTTCGTCCGGGTTCGGGGCGGCCAGGATGGCGCTGTGCTGCTTCTTGACCTGCTCCACATCCTCCGATAGCTTTTCTATACAGCCTCTGATCTCCTCCACCTGTACACCCACACACCCACATACACACACACACACACACACACACACACACACACACAGACAGACAGACAGAGAAATCAAAATGTATCAAATTAGTTAAAACTGTGGCTGCTTCTAAAATAAGCTTTGATTAGTTTGTGAACACGTTATTGTCCTCATAACATCTGTTTGTGAACATGTTATTGTCCTCCTAATGTCTGTTTGTGAACACGTTACTGTCCTCATAATGTCTGTTTGTGAGAACAATAATGTCCTCATAAAACACGTTACTGTCCTCATAATGTCTGTTTGTGAGAACAATAATGTCCTCATAAAACACGTTACTGTCCTCATAACATCTGTTTGTGAACATGTTATTGTCCTCCTAATGTCTGTTTGTGAACATGTTACTGTCCTCATAAAACACGTTACTGTCCTCATAATGTCTGTTCGTGAACACGTTATTGTCCTCATAGCGTCTGTTTTTGAACACAATACTGTCCTCATTAAACACGTTACTGTCCTCATAACATCTGTTTGTGAACACGTTACTGTCCTAATGTCTTTTAATTAACACAATACTGTCCTCATAACGTCTGTTTGTGAACACGTTACTGTTCTCCTAATGTCTGTTAATCAACACGTTACTGTCCTCATAACGTTTGTTTGTGAACACGTTACTGTC